CAAAGGACTGAACGACCCATCCCAGCTGTGGATATACTCCAGAGACTTTATTTAAACCTGCAGTTTATTCTATCACTGCTGCAAGCCTGAACCAAGAACTTGCCTTTACTGTGTGTAATTGATTCCATTTAACCAATTCTAGCTCTCATCTATATTTCTTTCCTTTTATGAATAAACTTTTAGATTTTAAAGGATTGGCAACAGCGTGATTTGTGGGTAAGATCTGATTTGTATATTGACCTGGGTCTGGGGCTTGGTCCTTTGGGATTGAGAGTACCTTTTTTCTTTTACTGGGGTATTGATTTTCATAACCATTTGTCCCCATAATGAGGGGCACTGGTGGTGATACTGGGAAACTGGAGTGTCTAAGGGAATTGCTTGTGTTACTTGTGGTTAGCCAGTGGGGTAAAACCAAAGTCTTCTCTGGTTTGGCTGGTTTGGTTTGCCTTGGTGTGCATAGAAACCCCAGCCTTGGGCTGTAACTGCCCTGCTTTATGCAATTTGTCCTGAATTGGCACTCTCAGTTGGGTCCCACCAGAACCAGCCTCGTTACAGAAGGAAAGAAAGGGAGAATAGTAAGAGGCCAAGATAGTACCACAGGAGTGTTTTAATGACCTGAATATCAAAATGGAACCCTACAAAAAATAGAAACATGGACAAATTGTGGGGACGAGTATAGGAGGAGGGCACAAACATGTAGGGACAAATCAGAAAGGGTAAGGAACTAGCAAGGGATAGAAAAGGCAACAAGAAAAGGTTTTATAAATACATTAGGAGCTAGAGCAGGGGTTCTCAAACTGGGGGTCGGGACACTTTAGGGGGGTCACAAAGTTATTACAGGGAAGTCACGAGCTGTCAGCCTTCACCCTAAACCCCACGTTGCCTCTAGCATTTATAATGGTGTTAAATATATTAAAAAGTGTTTTTAATTTATAAGGCGGGGTCGCTCTCAGAGGCTTGCTATGTGAAAGGGGTCACCAGTACAAAAGTTTGAGAACCACTGAGCTAGAGAAAGACGGAGGAAGGTGTAGCTCCTCTGCTTAGCAGGGAAGAAAAACTAATAACATCAAGAAAGCTCAGGTATTTCATGCCTGTTTTGCTTCCATCTTTACTAAAAAGGTAAATGGTGAGCAGATACTTAACACAATGAATATTAACAATGAAGAGGAAGGAAGACAAGCCAAAATAGGGAAAGAACAGATTAAAGAATATTTAGATGACTTGAATACATTCAACTTATCAGACGTGATGAAATTCATCTTAGGATACTTAAGAAACTTGCTGAAGCAATCTGGGAATTGTTAGCAATTATCTCTAAGTACTCCCGGGGGAGGAAAACTTAGTACCTGTCTTTAAAAACAGGAACAAAAAGGACTTTGTAACTAGTCCACCCTTACTTCAATACCTGGAAGGATTCTGAAACAAATTATTAAAAAATCAGTTTGTTAGCATCTAGAGAATAATAGTGTCATAAGTTATAGTCAACATGGATTTGTCAAGAAGAAATCATGCCAACCCAACCTAACTTCAGTCTTTGAATGGGTTACTGGCCTAGTGGATGGGGGGAAGCAGTAGATGTGACATATCTTTATTTTAATAAGGCTAATAATAATTGAAAATTTTAAAAAACAGATTGGACAAATAAATGTTTGTGAGGGATGGTCTAGGTTTACTGGGTCCTGTCATAGTACATGGGTCTGGACTTGATGACTTCTTGAGCTCCCTTCCAGCCCGACATTTCTATGGTTCTGTGCTTTCTTCATGCTGCTTCTTGCTTTTTGGAGGAACTCCCCATAAGCATCCCCAGACCTATCTCGTTATCATCCTTCCCATCCCTCCGTACAACTCCCCTGTTCCATGAAGCCTTCAAACATATGACAATGGTTAGGCTGCTGTTGAGCTGAGCCCACCGTTTATCAGGGTGACAAATTCTGTCTTATTGTTTCCTTGTGCTCCCCCGTCACTATTCAGGTCCTGTATTCATTGGACCTGTATTCCCCCTCTATAGTCCAGCAAGGCTGTCCTCTCAGGCTGCCCAGCCGGTACCTCTATTGGGTAGAAACCCACAGCAGTCAGGAGGGAGAGAGATGTATATCCAGGCTGTACAGCTCCCTGCCTATCCTGTGAATTTCCCAGCAAGGCAGATCCCCTCAGCAGGCCTGCTTTGCCTTTCTTCCTCAGAGGCTATGAACAGTGTAACTGCCCTTGCTTAACTTACCACACAGCCATTTCCCAGCAAACAATGATTCTCAAGTTAAAAGATTACAGAACGAATATTTTAAAAAGAATTATAGAACCTATATGCATGCTAATAAGCTTACCAGAGATCACCGCAGCCCCACCAAGGGCTGAGGCAGGTGAACAGACTTCAAACCCCACCAAGAGGTTGTTTTTTTTTCTGTGGTCGCAAGCTAATAATTCTTAGCTCAGAACAAACATGCCCATGCATCTAAGAGTCACTCTTTTGTCCAGTTTGGGCCTCTAAACTTTACTCCTGGATGAATTCTGCAGACGTGCAGAATTCATGTGCTGTGCAGAATTTTTTTTCTCTGCAGAAAATGCATTCTGCCAGAGATGTGCTGCAGTTGTACCTTTTGCCCACCTGGGTCTGTTGTGGTGTCAGAACAGAGAGCAGCTGCTCTCAGGCACGACCGGCTCCTGCTGCAGATAAGGAAGAGAAGAGGCTGGTTTCATCATGCTGCCCTAACCATGGAACCAGGTCAGGAGGCACTGGCTATGAGGGGATGGACAGCATGGGCACATGGGGCTGCTGGGTGGTCAGACTGAGGTTCAGAAGAGCTAGTGGGGAGGGACAGATTGGTGTGGGGTCTCAATGGGAGAAGGGGTTTAGGGACACATGGGGACAGGGCAGAGGGGTTGCAGGGACATATAGGAATGGAGGAGAAGGGGTAGCTGAGTGGGGGTGTAGGGACACGTGGGGATGGGAGGATGGGGTTGCTGAGTGGGGCTATATGGGGAAGGGGGAGGGAGTGCAGGGACACCTAGGGTAAAGGAGAGGGTGGCTGTGTGGGAGAGGGTGGCTGAGTGGGGGTGCAGAGACCCATGGGGACAGAGGCAGATGTGCCTGACTGAATGAGAGAGAGGCTAGGGGTCAGCCGGAGTCTGCATTGGGGAGGCTCCCTAACAGCCCTCCCCATCAACAACTGTTCTATACTTCTCCCACCCACCCCCAAAAACCCTCCAGATTAACATCCAGCCCCCTTCCCAGCAATTACTTCCATCCTCTCCTCCGTTACCCCTGACTCGCACAAGCCTTTGCACTGCTTCTGGGCATGCTGGAAATACAGTTCTGTATTGTAGTTTAAATGTATTATTACTCAGTTTTATATTAATATCCCCGGTAATGAATCTTTTTGTCAAAAACCATTTCCTTAATCTTTTTTGTGCTCTGTATTGATACAGAAATACTTGTTGACAGGTATTTTGAAATAAATTACCAAAATAATTGAAACTGGTGTGATTATAATGTGTTATTTTGACAAATAAAATATAAAGAATTCTAAAATATTGTGAGCAGAATTTTTAATTTTTTGGCACAGAATGCTCCCAGGAGTAGAACTTACGTTCATGTAACAGGTGATCAGCAGGCAATGGTTTCTCCTCAGGGTGAAGCTTCCATAGGTTTGATGTGGAGGTGAGACATTGCCTTCTTCTCCCACTGTGTATTTCCTAGGGATCTATCCCACTTAACTTTGTCTAGCACATTGTTTCAAAGAGTCCTTTGAAGCTCATAACACTTTCTTGGACTTTTGTTAGCCAGGTCCCCTCCCCAGAGATGTTACAGACCATCCTACAGTAATACATACACACTCTTATTTTTAATACAATAAACTGCTAGGACACTGAAAACTTAATTCAATAAGGTTTGAGTTAATTCAGTAATGATGGTCCAGGATATTGCAGAAAATTGTCATCACTGTCAAACCCATGTCTATTTGTATCCATCCTTCTCTTGTCTTGTTCTTAGATTCTCATATTTTGGGGCAAAGAGTTTTTTGTTCTGTGTTTGTAGAATGTCCAGAAGATCCTGGTCCATTATTTGCACTACTAGGTATTATGATAATAAAAATCATAAATGATAATAATGGGGAGGTTGTGGTTAGTGGTGTGTGTGTCAGAAAGTAGGGAGAGGAAGGCTTTGGGCAAAGAGCTCCTGTGAGTCAGGAGTGCTGGAGGCGGTAGTGGTGGAGATCCCATGGAACAGCTGCTGTAGGGAGTTAGGATGCTGTGGAGGGCTGGAAGAAATGGAACTCAAGGATCTGGAAGGGTTGCTGCTGATTAGAGTAATGGGAGCATGGGTGCTGGGTAGTGGGTGCTCCAGGAAAAAGGGGTGCTAGCAACGGGAGGGAGAAATGGTACACATTTTTGGCAGGATCTCTTGGGAATCAGGACCATGGAACAATTGAGACAGTGGGATTATGGGGTGAAAATGGTTGGGGAGCAGAGACTTTGGGAGTACTGATAACAAGGAGGGCTGTGCGTAATGGGAGGGGAGGAGAACATAAGGAGTGGCTGTTCCTTGGGTCCCAGGAGGCAGCGAAGGGCAAAATTAATTGGAGAATGGTGCGTGGAGGTCCTAGTGATTGGCAGGGCTAGCTCCCTCTCTGTGCCCTTCTTTGTCTCTCTGTCTCCCCTCAGCTGTCAGGCCTTGTGCCTTTCCTCCTCCTGCACTGTCTCTGGGCTTCTCTCTGTCAGAAAAAAGCAGTTCCAGGGGGATTTACCCTCTGGCTGGAGTCTTCTCTTTCTGTGACATGGAGTTAGGTGCTCTTTGATCGTGACTGTCTGGCTGTGTGTTCCCAGTAGGCATGGGCACAGTTGAACCCCTCATAAGAAGAGTGTCTGCACCTTTGAGAACACTGGGAGCTGGCCCCATGATTTTACTGCTTGAAAATGGGCTGGGGTTAAAATAACAGAAGTTTTTGTGTGTGTGACAAAATGTCCCATGAATTTACCTTATCTCACTTGTCTCACTTGATCAGGGTTTCCAGTTTCCAAACCTGATGTCACCTCCCAGAAGGAGCAAAGGGAAGAGCCGTTTTCCCCAGATCTCAGAGGAAAGTGAGATTCTGAGAGACTGCTGTACAGGTGAGTGATCATTAAGCCAATTCAAATACTGTCAGTTCCTGAAGGAAACAGCTGGGATTCCCAACAAAGACCTGTGAGCTGTCTGAATTCAGGAATGTCCCCAGCAGGTGTCCTATGCTCAGGGCAAATATTGCTCATGGCTCCCTACCCACCCTGACTAACTCATGGCAGTAGCTCCCTCCCTGAACTTCCTTCTCCCTGAGTGTTTGGATGGGAGCTGGATGCAGAATTGATCCCCTACTCTCTCCCATTTAGGGAAGAGTTTGGGGAAATTCAGTCCCTGATTTTTTCCCATCTCCAGCTCTTCTTTTGGTTTGTTCTCCCCTTTTCCATTCTGGTTTCTGAGGGTTTTTCTTTCTCTGTACCACCAGGTGATGGGATGGTGAATGAGACCATGGCGCAGGATCCTCAGCAGGAAGGTGATGAGGAAGTGGAACCACATGGGGTGTTACTGCAAAGATGCAAAGGGAGTGTGTCCAGGAGTAGTGAGCAGGAAAAAGCCAGTGAGAATCAGTACAGGCCAGAGAAGCAGCAGAGAAACCAGCCAACACAGAAAGCTGGTCAATCTGTTAATTATCAGGGAACTCAGAAAGACAACAAGAAAACCATGGCCCAGCAGATTATCCTCATGGGAGAAAGAAATAAAACATGCATTGAGTGTGGGAAAAAGTTCAGTAAGCGAGCACACCTTATTATCCATCAGAGAAGCCACACAGGGGATAAACCCTATGAATGCTGTGAGTGTGGGAAAACCTTCGCTCAGAGATCAAACCTTACTACGCATCAGAGAATCCACACAGGAGAGAAACCCTATGAATGCTGTGAGTGTCAAAAATCCTTCACTGATCACTCAACCCTTATTAGTCACCAGAGAATCCACACAGGGGAGAAACCCTATGAATGCTGTGACTGTGGGAAATGCTTCTCTCGGAGCTTACACCTTATTCAGCATCAGAGAATCCACACAGGGGAGAAACCCTATGAATGCTGTGAATGCGGGCAAACCTTCGCTCAGAGCTCACAGCTTATTAGACATCAGCGGATCCACACAGGGGAGAAACCCTATGAATGCTGTGAATGCGGGAAAACCTTCACTGGTAGTTCAAACCTTATTAGCCATCAGAGAATCCACACAGGGGAAAAACCCTATGAATGCTGTGAGTGTGGGAAAACATTCACTGATAGCTCAACCCTTATTAGTCACCAGAGAATCCACACCAGAGAGAAACCCTATCGATGCTGTGAATGTGGGAAAACTTTCTCTTGGAGCTCAGCTCTTATTCAACATCAGAGAATCCACACAGGGGAGAAACCCTATGAATGCTGTGAGTGCAGGAAAACCTTTTCTCAGAGCTCAGCCCTTATTCAACATCAAAGAATCCACACAGGGGAGAAACCCTATGCATGTTGTGAGTGCGGGAAAACCTTTGCTCAGAGCTCAAAACTTATTAGACATCAGAGGATCCACACAAGAGAGTGACCCTATGAATTTTATGAATATGGCAAGTTCTTATATCCGAACTCAGCCTTTCTTTATCATTAGAGATGCTGCAAGGGAGTAGGAGACCATATAAACCCTGTCTAGAAAAGAATGTTTTCCTTTTGCTAATTCCCACGTAATGAAATTAAAGGCATCATTTGTGTCCCTGTGATATTTCAGTTCCCCTAGATGAGTTGTCTGCTTTTCCCTTCTGTAGCACATCTTCCCTTAGGGAGAATCCCAGAGTCTTTATGATCAACTGCTTTGTTCTATGTCATGGAAGTGTGTCTCTCAAACAAGAATGTCCATCAACTCCAGAAGTTTAATGTACTGGAGCCTTGATTCCACTAGGATTTACCTAGCTTCAATTAGCAATCTTGATGTAAAGACAAGGTTTTTTTCAATTAAAAAAAAAAATTACCGTGGCCACTATAAATGGACTATCAAATTTTGTGAAGACCTGAGATAACATCCATCATTTTTCCTAGTGTAAACAAATTCGGAGCATCACATTTATACTTTTCCTCCCACTGCAAAGCAATTGTTGGTTACCACATTCCCTCGCTATGGACAGATTGTCTCATTCCCAGTTGTTTTCACATTGCACTGGGTTCTGCTGAATGTTTTTATACCATTTTAAATACATATAAAGATAACAAAGAGAAGGAGCAGGATTAGGGATAGGAAAATACAAGTTTTTTCAACCTCTGTGACACCTGAAAAAGAAGTGGTGAGTCGCAGGGATTACTCCAGCAGTGTTTCTCTCTTTGATCCAGAATTTATGTAGAATTAGTTTTCCACTTTCTACACCTCCACCTCTCACTGTTGTCTTATGATTCAGTGTTATCAGCCCTCTGCGTGGGAATAACACTTGGATTTGATCCTAAACCATAGTAATTCAGGACCTGAGATGAAAGTGTCAAATACCTGGAAGGGGAATTTAATTAATCTCAACTGTAGTATAATAATTTGGAGTTCAAATCTCAGTTTCCAACAATTGGAAAGCCTTTTCTAGGATTTTTCCTATTGAGATGGGATTGTTTGGAGATGGAGAGGCTGGGATTTTTTCCAGTTATGATGATGCTGGAAGTTTTGTAAATGATACCACTCAATAGTAATGAGTGAAGCAGGTTTCAATGAGTCAGAAGAGAACATAATGGGAGAATATCTTGTTTTGATTCTGAGTCATCACCTTTAACTTGCTCTGGAATTTCTAGTTCAGCGGTCCCCAACCTTTCTGTGGGAATAGCACATTGGCGCCCGCCACAGTCTGTTGGGAATAGCAAACACCCCACCTCCGAAATGCTGCTGAGAAGTGGCAGTGGAAAGAAGCCTCACCGCCGAGAAATGGCAACGCTTCTCGATGGCATTTCGGCAGGCCATTCTCAGGTGGCTGTGCCCGGCGGTGGCATTTCAGCAGCATAGTGTCCTGCGGGCGTTGGGGACCCCGTTCTAGTTAGTCTTTTCTTATTTTATTTTTGCTTTTCCCTGCCCCCTCCATGATGAGATGGAGAAACTTCAAGTGCAGTTTAATCAAACAGGAGAGAATACTCCAAACTTACTGTTTTTACGTCTCGCATCTGAAATGGTCAACAGCAGCCCACCCCAAATTGCACAACTAACTGAAATAAACTGGATACAATCAATCAGAGTGTTGTTCAGTTGTTTAGGTCAATATTGTATCACATGATCCAGGGAGAGAATTCCACAGTAAGTGACTAGGAACTAAGCAAAAGGTGCATGTGTTTGTTTCCCAAGGCAATTGTGACCCAGACTCGTGACAGACGATATCCCAGTGTTCACACCCTACACACATTTGCAGTAATTTTAGTGCAAGGCATTGAGAGATTACACTCCATATCCTTTATGAAAATATGCTTATGGTATGGATATGACATAATAGAAATCCTTTCTGCAAGATGGCTCATGTAAGATATCATTGGACAGGTTATGATTTACTGAATGTGATTATCCAATGTATTTGCATGTATCATTTCTTTAGCTAAAGTTGGAATATCAGCTATGTAACAATTACAACTCAGAGTGTATTGGGAAGATACCCACCAGATGATAGGCCATCAGATTTGATGGGCCATCAGAAAGACACAACAAGACTGGAAAGATACTAATCTCTCTCCTTCCTGGGATCTAGCAGTGTCACAGCTACATCAGGTGGTCTTGTCTCCTGATACTAAACATTATCTTGGACTTCTTGTAACTTTCCACTACAAGGAGAAGGAGTGTCAAGTTTGGGAAGCAAAAGATTCCTAGCTTATGTAAATCTTAGGGAAGGGTGGGGAGGAGGGCAATCGAGACTTTCCTCCATTGTCTTCCCAAGAAGAAGGACTGCTGAAAGTACCTGGAGGAACAGAGGAACTAACCTGAAGGGAAAGGCAGGGGAGAGTCCAGACCGAGGCAGGGTTCTGGTCTGCAAGAAGAAATAACTGGGACTTTGAGCAACAGAAACTCTTCATTCTGCCTAATTCAACATTTAGGGTAAGAAACTACATTCGGTATTCTGTATCTTTAGTGAATCAAGCTTAGTTTGTGTGTTTTGTTTTATTTGCTTAGTAATCTGCTTTGATCTGTTTTATACTCACAATTTTTCTGTAGTTAATAAAGTGACTAAGTGATAGCAAACAGGTAATCTGCTATGATCTAACAAATAAACAAGAAACTGCAAACTAAGCCTACTATACTAGGTAAATAGAATTTGAATTAGCAATTTCTCACCCTGACTGATAATACAAGCAGTCCACCAAGTTTCCATACACAGGTTCGAAATCTCTTTAGCCTGGGACCAGCACTTCCCCCAGTTCAGTCTTTGTTCCTCAGATATTTCCAGGAGTTCTCTTGGGTGGGGAGTGAGGCCCAGAGATGATGTCACTCCTCATTTTATGTAGTTTTTCCATGTGATGGGAACCCTTTGTTTCAAACTAAGTTCACAGCCCAGTTTGTGGAAAGATCTAGGTACCAAACTGGAGCTCAGTGTCATGTGGTCTGGTCACATGCCCTTGCCTGCCTTGCTGAGTCATAGCAGCCATTACTCAGATTGTCTGGTGCGTTCTCAAGAAGGCTGAGCTCTTCCATGCTCCATTGTCTTTGTTGATGAGCCATCACCACTTGTCTAGCTTCTACATTGTTGTACCTGAAAGGCTAGTTCTGGATGTTACCCAGAGTAAGCACATTTGAAATACAGATACCTAGTCAATATTCATACCTCCAGATACAAAAATGATACAGGCATACAAATAGGATAATCATATTTAGCAAATCATAACTTTTCAATGGACACCTTACATGACATATTTGTACAAGATGCATTATAGTACATCATATCATGATCATATCATAATGATACCAGTATGATGAATATGGGGTGCAGTGTCACAGTGGTGAAACCTTGCAAAAGACAGGCTGTGAGCAGAAGTCAAGCTCTGCCTGCATGGAGGCTCACAGAATCTGTCAACAGGGCTCATATTGCAAAAACATTCACATTCCTGAGAAGTGTTAGGCTCAGGACATTCACAGAAACACATTCCAGAAGGATGGTATCAGAACCCCCTGACTTCTCTTAAAGATGGGGTCAGGATGACAGTGTGATGGATAGAGATGTTTTGATCGTACCAACATGTACAAGGTAAAGGGTGGTTACTGACCATATCAGAGGGGCAATATGAAATTTGTTTGTATCAGTGTACAAAATAGAGTCTTGGAGGAAGTGTCTTTGGCTAGCCTAGGGGAAGTGGAAAGTCCCACCACTGACAGAGCTGGTCCATTGTGACAAGCATACTTGTGGTAGTGGTCCTGTAGAGTCTACAGGATACTAGGACTGTGCTTCATTAATAAAGTTGGCTGGGTGCCTTTGCTACTAAACAGGTCTGTGGTGATGGGGCAGTTTGATCAGAACCTGATGTATGGGCTATCTGGCCAGAGCCAGTGCAACACAGAGAGAACACACACATGCAGACATCTGACAACTGCAGTGTTATATGCGAAGTAGTAAACACAAGCTGCAATCATGACTAATAGTATGTTATCCATATAAAGCTGGGGAGTAGCCAAAACCAATTCCTCAGAGGCAAAGGGCAGCTGATGCCTCACCCAAGTGTAAACAAGGGTGATGGACCATTGCCTGCGAATTGACCATTCTTTGCCAGGAAAGGGGCTGGGCAAAAAATTCTACATTTTAGCAAAGAAACATGGAGTTCCTGTTCACACAGATTACCTGTAGTCTTGCTCCCAGCTGGGAATGCTTCTCAAAGTGGGAACAGGACTATAAAACAAAGGGGCAGACCCCACCCCCCCCAACACCCCTTTTCTCTCCCTGCTCATTGGATTCTCTGCACCTGTGAAGACAAAATGACACAGCCCTTAAGCTTTGATTGAGGTGTTCTACTCAGCACGTGCTTCAGGAGTAAGACTACTGAAGCACATGCTGAGAAAAATTTGCTTTGAAACTAAGAATTTCTTAAGTATGTGTTAGGAAGCATTTTATCTTTATTTTTTGTAACCATTTATGACTTTTAAGCCACATTACCTGTACTCTCATAAAATCTCTTTGTAGTTGTTAAACTTGTTTTCTGTGTTAAATACAGTGTGTTTAAACTGAAGTTTCTGAATAGCTATTTGAAATAATAAGATGGTATATTATTCTTTTAAAGGTTTATTGGACTTCAAATATTTTGTAGTGTCCAGGAGAGTACTGGGCAGTACAAGACATACATTTCTGGGGAAAATCTGGGACTGGGGTGTGTGTGTTAGGGCTCACTATAAAGTGTAGTAGAAAGAGAGCCTAAGACATGAGGTGTGGTAAAAGGGGCCTGGTGTAAGGCCTAAGGCTGCTACTAAATTCAGGCCCTGCTGAGAGAAAGCAAAGTTAGCAAGAGTCAAGGTATGAGCAGCAGTCAGGCCCTGTTACAAAACATGCTTATGTGGAAGTTCACAGGACCTAGCAGTGTTATGCTTATAAGAAGCATACACAATTTTTTAAAAAGAGGGTAAGGCAATATGCTACATTTATTGAGAGTACAGTTTAAGCATTAAAATCAGCATATGCTTTCATACATGCACACACACCAAAAGGTTCTGCAACTGGATCTTATAGTTACCAGTCCATAGTGTTGCTTGGTCAGTTCCAGTGGCCAGCTGAAACTGCACACGAGGGAGGGGAGCTGGACTTCTGTCAAACACATTCAAAGCTCTGATGTTGATGCAGAATGAACCCAAAGTCCCACAGCAATACACCTTTCTTTTATGGTGATAAGTTCCCATACAAGTCTCTGGACCTTGCTGTGTCATACCAGAGCTGTCAATCATGAGGTATTCAAGGTTGCTCTTAATTAGCATTATTTTGAGTTGTTACCAGGAGGATCCACAATTGTTTCTTATCTTGTCCTTATGGCTCAACTCCTTCTCTTGTCCTTGGGGTGTATGCCTTTAGGGTTGTCAATTTGCCATCCGGGTGATTGATAATAAAGATGGTGTCTCTTGACTCCTCCACTCCCTTCTTGATCATCCGACCCAGTTGTTCTTTCTTAGTTAATTACCATACATTTTTTACTCACACCAAACAATAGATAAGGCAATTACAGCCATAAAACTTCTATCCATCTAAGAACAGTCAGCAATGTTCTGACTGTTAACCCAATCAGCAAAAAATAAACTCAAAACAATTTCTTCTTACTAATTCAAGGCGACAATTTATTTTAGCAAAATTAGCAAAATGGAGTACAATTTTACATGAGACAATTTCTTCCCATTAGGCTTTTGGCCTACAGCAGAAACAGGGCTGGTATTGCAAAAACACAAGGACTCCGAGCCTAAGTATTCACATAAACATTCCAGAGGTGTAGTATCAGAATACGCTGATGCAAAGTTATGGTGTAAACACACACCCCGAAGATGATACAGAGACACATTTGGCCCCTCTTAAAGAAAAGGTCAGGATGATAGCGTGATGGATAGAGATGTTTTGATTGAACCAACATGTACAAGGTAAAGGGTGGTAACTGACCACATGAGAAGGGCAATCCGTAACTTGTTAATATCAGTGCATAAAAGAGGGGCCTCAGGAGGGGTGTCTTTGTCCAGCTGAGGAGTGGAAAATCTTGCCAGATGAGTGGGAGAGCCCTGCCTCTGCTGCGTGCAGTCTGGCAGGGCCTATGAAGGAGGGTGCGGTGAGGGTGCAGCTGGGCATGAGAGAGGGCCTGCCCCAGGAAGAGTTTTCCCTCCCTCGTGCCATCCCACTGCTAGCTCCCCGAGTCCCTGTGCCATCGCCCTTGTCCCCGGCCTGGCCACTGCTAGCCAGCCCACAGATGACACATGGAGGGCTGGGGCCCTTGTACAGGGGAAGCAGGGCAAATGGAAGGTTCAGGCTCAGTTCCTCCCCTCTGCTGCTCCTGTAAGAACAGGAAGGGGGCCATAGATGCCAAACCTTCTGCCTTGCCCTCCTTCCACCGGAGCTGGCTGGGGAAGATGTGGCAGGAATAGGGGGCAGCGCTGCTCCTCCTTTGGGGTCCCTCCTTGAGGGGACCTCTGGTGGTCCCCCTCCCACCCTCTTGCTACCTAAGCCCCCTGCAAGCTCCAAGGCAAGTATCGCTTCAAGTGCCGGTGGGGAGGTCCCTGGGGAGGTGGGAGACGTCTCCTCCATATTCAAGGAGATTGAGGCCCAGGGTCTGACCCTGGTCACACAGGGGAAGAATGATTCTCTGCCAGCAGGCCTCACTCTTGGTAACTTTACACCACCCTCCCCTCCCCATGACCACTGCTCCCACTCTCACTTCTGGGGAGCCCCTGGACCCTTCCACCTGCCCAGTCGCGCACACCTCACTGAAGGCCACCAAGCCCATCAAGGCAACAGCCCATGCCATGTGGCCAGGCCCTGAGTCACCAGGGGCACCTCTTGCTGTTGCAGGGCAACCAACCTCCTTTCTGGGTGGGGACCTCCGCTGCCAATTCTCCATCCATCGATGCCATGGCTGCAGCACCCACCATGGAGAAAGAGCCTGGCATCACCGAGGGCCCCATTCCCATTCCCCAACACCTGAGCCCAGCCAAGAGATGCCTCCCTGGGTTGCCCGGCTGCTGGGGCTCATGGTCCCATTTCCACCCCTCTCCCTGACCCCGTTCCTGATCCCTGCCCCAACCCCTGATGCTGATCCTGTCCCCCTCCACCTCCCGAGCTGCTGCTGCCCCTGGGGTTGACCAGTGGATGACCCCCAGGGCATGGCCTTCATGTTCCCTGGTCCTGATCTCCTAAGGGCTACTATTTTCCCTCCTGCCCACTGAGCCAGGGTCTGAGGAGGGCTGTGTGGGGCCGGCCCATTGGGCACCATGCTGGAGGTCTTCCCCCTGCCTGCCCATTGTGGTAGGCCATGGGGCTTTGACAGGGGCCCCACCAGAGGACAGCCAGGGGCCTGTGACCCCACCCCCTGATAGGTTGCGAGAGGAGCTGCAAGAGTTTCTCAGGATGCCTGTCAGTCCTGGAACAAGGTGCAGCTTGCTCTCCAGCTCTGAGGGGAATTTTATCAAATCCTCCAGGCCATGAGGACCATTTTGGGGGAGAGTGAAGGGACAGAGGGGCTGGCTGCTTCGGCCTACCAGAGGGCCCACTGCTTCTGTGACTCCCAGCTTACATAAGGGATTGGTCATAGAATCATAGAATCATAGAATATAAGGGTTGGAAGGGACCCCAGAAGGTCATCTAGTCCAACCCCCTGCTCGATTCCCAGTTAAATCATCCCAGCCAGGGCTTTGTCAAGCCTGACCTTAAAAACCTCTAAGGAAGGAGATTCTACCACCTCCCTAGGTAACGCATTCCAGTGTTTCACCACCCTCTTAGTGAAAAAGTTTTTCCTAATATCCAATCTAAACCTCCCCCACTGCAACTTGAGACCATTACTCCTCGTTCTGTCATCTGCTACCATTGAGAACAGTCTAGAGCCATCCTCTTTGGAACCCCCTTTCAGGTAGTTGAAAGCAGCTATCAAATCCCCCCTCATTCTTCTCTTCTGCAGGCTCTGGTCACTTATTACTGCATGGCCCAACAGTGTCCCTGCCAGCAAGGATTCCCCCGCAGCCCTCCCTATGATGCCCATTACCTTCACTACATTAAACACCTGGGGCTGTAGGGTGGGTCTCTGCAGGTGCCAGATGCTCTCCTTTTTTGGGGGGGGGGTACTCTGTGGTTTTCCTACAGGAGACCCATATGGATCCAACAGCTGAAGCAAGTTGGTGGCTGGAGTGGGGGGACAGGGTTCATTTTAGCCATCTCACAGCTCATACAGCTAGAGTGGTTACCCTGTTTTCCCCTGACCTATGGCCCGAGATACTGGGGGTTACTGAGGCTGTGCTGGACCACCTGCTGCACCTCTGGGTCTGCATGGAAGGCCTGGTGGTCAATCTCATCAATGTTTATGCCCCAACATCGGGCCCAGTGCAGGTACACCTTTTTTAACTGGCGTCTGCCCTCCTCAGCTCCTTGGATCCTCACGAGTGCCTGGTCCTGGACAGGGACTTAACACCGTCCTCGAGGAACAGGACTGCTTGGGGACCGAGCAGTTCCCGGCTGTTGTGGACATCTTCTGGGAAATTGTGGACCATCACTCCCTGGTGGATGTCTGGCGCGACCACCACCTGGATGACGGGTTGACGTTCACCTTTGTCCGGGTGGAGGCCCATCAGTCATGCCACTCCTGGTGGGACCACATTTATTTATCATGCTGTCACCTTTCACAGGCCCACTCCTCCAGCATCCAGCCAACCCCATTCTCAGATCTCCATCTGGCAACTGTGACGGTCTCTCTTAGCGCAGAGAGGCAGGGGCCAGCCTATTGGCACTTTAATAACAGCTTGTTGGAGGATGTGGGCTTTGTGGATTCCCTCCAGGAGTTCTGGCTGGCCTGGTGAGGGCAGAGGTGTGCCTTTCCCTTGGCGCAGTGGTGGTGGGATGTGGGGAAGGTGAACGCCTGCTCTTCTGTCATGACTACACCTGGCACACCAGCCGGTGGAGGGATACGGTGATAGAACAGTTGGAATGGGAGGTCTTAGAGTAGAAGAGGCATCTGGCCACCAGCCCTGTGGATCCATCCTTTGGTGGAGCATGCTGGAAGAAGTGGGAGGAGCTCCGGGCCCTTGAGAACCATTGGGTCCGGGGTGCCTTTGTTCAATCCTGCATCCACCTCCTTTGGGAGATGGACCACGGCTCCTGCTTCTTCTACGCCCTGGAGAAAAAGAGGGGGGTGGGGGGGGGCTAAGAAGCATGTCACCTGACTTCTGGCAGAGGACGGCATCCCCCTCATGGATCTGGGAATCATAAACTATAAGGGTTGGAAGGGACCTCAGGAGGTCATCTAGTCCAATCCCCTGCTCAAAGCAGGACCAATCCCCAACTAAACCATCCCAGCCAGGGCTTTGTCAAGCCTGACCTTAAAAACTTCTAAGGAAGGAGATTCCACCACCTCCCTAGATAATGCATTCCAGTGTTTTACCACTTAAATTGATTTCTTGAGGACCTGCAGGGTTGGAAGGGACCTCAGGAGGTCATCTAGTCCAACCCCCTGCTCAAAGCAGAACCAATCCCCAACTAAATCATCCCAGCCAAGGAATCAATTCTGAAGCACTTAGAGGAGAGGAAAGTGATCAGGAACAGTCAGCATGGATTCATCAAGGGCAAGTCATGCCTGACTAATCTAATTGCCTTCTATGATGAGATAACTGGCTCTGTGGATGAGCGGAATCATAGAATCATAGAATATGATTCTATGGTTCTATGATGCCCTTGGTGAATCCATGCTGACTGTTCCTGATCACTTTCCTCTCCTCTAAGTGGGAAAGCAGTGGACGTGTTGTTCCTTGACTTTAGCAAAGCTTTTGACACGGCCTCCCACACTATTCTTGCCAGCAAGTTAAAGAAGTATGGGCTGGATGAATGGACTATAAGGTGGATAGAAAGCTGGCTAGATTGTTGGACTCAATGGGTAGTGATCAATGGCTCCATGTCTAGTTGGCAGCCGGCATCAAGTGGAGTGCCCCAAGGGTCGGTCCTCGGGCCAGTTTTGTTCAACATCTTCATTAATGATCTGGAGGATGGCATGGATTGCACCCTCAGCAAGTTTGCAGATGACACTAAACTGGGAGGAGAGATAGATACGCTGGAGGGTAGGGATAGGATACAGAGGGACCTAGACAAATTGGAGGATTGGGCCAAGAGAATTCTGGTGTGGATCAACAAGGACAAGTGCAGAGTCCTGCACCTAGGACGGAAGAACCCAATGCACCGCTACAGACTGGGGACCGAGTGGCTAGGCAGCAGTTCTGCAGAAAAGGATCTAGGGGTTGCAGTGGATGAGAAGCTGGATATGAGTCAACAGTGTGCCCTTGTTGCCAAGAAGGCCAATGGCATTTTGGGATGTATAAGTAGGGGCATTGCCAACAGATCAAGGGACGTGATCGTTCCCCTCTATTTGTCATTGGTGAGGCCTCATCTGGAGTACTGTGTCCATTTTTGGGCC